AGGTCAAAAAATGTTGATGCAGTTGAATAGCTTACATCAGTATGCATCAACATATGAAGTTTGATTACACTACCTTGAATGGTATCTTTAAAACTGAGCTAAACACTAATTTAAGAAAAGTGAGGTCAAGGTCAAAGGAAAGGTCAAGGTCAAAAAATGTTGATGCAGTTGCATAGCTCTCATCAATATCTATCAGCATATGAAGTTTGATAAAAATATCTTGAATGGTATCTTTGAAACTGAGCTTTGAACAGAGCTAAACGCAAAGTGTGACGGAAGGACAGACGGAAGGACAGACGGAAGGACGGAAGGACGGAAGGACAGAAGGACGGAAGGACGGAAGACGGACATGACAAACACTATATGCCCCGGCCATATTCATGGCGGGGCATAAAAATTTCCCATATATTCTTTTGTAAAAATTTGATCCCCCATTGTGGCTTCTCCCTATCTAAGGGGTCACCATTTGAACAAACTTGAATCTACACTCCCTGAGGATGCTTCCATATCAATATGACTAAACATAGCTTTTCTGTTCTTGAGAAGAAATATTTTTTCTATATGTTCTTATGTAAAACTTTTAATCCCCCACTGTGGCCCCACCCTACCCCCTAGGGGTTATCATTTGAACAAAATTGAATTTACACTATCTGAGGATGCTTCCATATCTAAACATGATTTTCAGTTCTTGAGAAGAAGATATTTTCCTATATGCTCCCAAGTAAAATTTTCGATCCCCCAAATTTGTGGCCCCACCCTATCCCGGGGGTCATCATTTGAACAATCATGAATTTACACTACCAAATGATGCTTCCATATCAAAATGACTAATCATGGCTATGCAGTTCTTCAGAAGAAGATATTTTCCTATATATTTCTATTTAAAACTTTGATCCTCCATTGTGGCCCTGCCCTACCCCCAGGGGTCATGATTTGAACAAACTTGAATCTACACTACCTGAGGATGCTTCCATATAAATATGACTCATCATGGCTTTGCTGTTCTTGAGAAGAAGATTTTTAAAGGTTTTTCTATTTATTTCTATGTAAAATTTTGATCCTCCATTGTGGCCCCGCCCTACCCCCAGGGGTCATGATTTGAACAAACTTGAATCTACACTATCTGAGGATGCTTCCATATAAATATGACTCATCAAGGCTTTGCTGTTCTTGAGAAGAAGATTTTTAAAGATTTTTCCTATATATTTCTATGTAATACTTTGATCCTCCATTGTGGCCCCGCCCTACCCCCAGAAGTCATGATTATAACAAATTTAATCTACACTACCCGATGATGCTTCCATATAAATATGACTCATCATGGCTTTGCTGTTCTTGAGAAGAAGATTTTTAAAGGCTTTTCCTTTATATTTCTATGTAAAACTTTGATCCTCCATTGTGGCCCCGCTCTACCCCCAGGGTTCATGATTTGAACAAACTTGAATCTACACTATCTGAGGATGCTTCCATATAAATATGACTCATCATGGCTTTGCTGTTCTTGAGAAGAAGATTTTTAAAGGTTTTTCCTATATATTCTTATGTAAAACTTTGATCCTCCATTGTGGCCCCGCCCTACCCCCAGGGGTCATGATTTGAACAAACTTGAATCTACACTATCTGAGGATGCTTCCATATAAATATGACTCATCATGGCTTTGCTGTTCTTGAGAAGAAGATTTTTAAAGGTTTTTCCTATATATTCTTATGTAAAACTTTGATCCTCCATTGTGGCCCAGCCCTACCCCCAGGGGTCATGATTTGAACAAATTTGAATCTACACTACCTGAGGATGTTTCCATACAAATATGACTCATAATGGCTTTTCTGTTCTTGAGAAGAAGATTTTTAAAGGTTTTTCCTATGTATTTATATGTAAAACCTTGATCCTCCATTCTGGCCCCGCCCCACCCCCAGGGGTCAAGATTTGAACAAACTTGAATCTACACTACCTGAGGATGCTTCCACATGAGTTTCATCGTTCCTGGCCCTGTGGTTCTTGAGAAGAAGATTTTTAAAAGATGTTATTAATTTTTCACTTATTCTTTATTATCTCCCCTTGAAAGAGGGCCTGGCCCTTCATTTGAACAAATTTGAATTCCCTTCATCCAAGGATGCTTTGTGGCAAGTTTGGTTGAAATTGGCCCAGTGGTTCTGGAGAAGAAGTCAAAAATGTGAAAAGTTTACAGACGGACAGACAGACGGACAGATGGACTACAGACAAAATGTGATCAAAAAAGCTCACTTGAGCTTTTAGCTCAGTGAGCTAAAAATATGGCCATTGTATGAAAAAAAATACAGCTATTTATTTTTAGTAAAAGAAATACCTTGCTCAACCAAATCCAATCCAAAAAAGGGGAATTTTGTAATACAGTATCGACAAGAGGCCCATGGGCCAAAACGCTCACCTGCTGTTCTTCGTCAGCAGATTTCTTCTCCTATATTTCTCCTATATATTTATATATAAAGCTTTGATCGCCTGTTCTAGGCATACCCTACCCCAACGTGCCATGTTTTGAATGAAATTGAATATAAACCTTCTGAGGATGCTTCTATCTTCATATAACTAATCATGATTTTGCTGTTCTTTAAAACAGAATTTTAAATATGTCTAACACCCTACCCTTGGGGGGGGGGGGGGGGGGGGCTGGGTCATGATTTGAACAAACTTGATTGTACACTACCTGAGGATGCTTCCATATCAATATGACTGATCATAGCTTTGTCGTTCTTGAGAATGAAGAAGATTTTTAAAGATATTTCCTGTATGTGTTCTTTTGTAAAACTTTGATCCCCCATTATGGCCCCACCCTACTACTGGAGGATGCCTTGAACAAGCTTGAATCTACAATATTTGGGGATGATTCCATATCAATATGACTAATTGTGGCTTTGTTGTTCTTGAGAAGAAGATTTTTAAAGAAATTTCCTATATATTCCTATGTAAAAATTTGATCCCCCATTGTAGCCCCCATCCTACCCCCGGGGGTAATGATTTGAACAACTTGAAGCTACACTACTTGAAGATGATTCCATATCATTATGACTAATTGTGGCTTTTTTGTTCTTGAGAAGAAGATTTTTAAAGATTTTCCCTACATATTCCTATGTAAAACTTTGATCCCCCATTGTGGCCCCGCCCTACCCCCGGGGGTCATGATTTGAACAAACTTGAATCTACACTATGTAATGAAGGTTTCACATAAGTATAAACTTTTCTGGCTCAATAATTCTTGAGAAGAAGATTTTTAAAAGATGACACCAAATTTTCACCAATTCTTAATTATCTCCCCTTGGAAGAGGGCGTGGCCCTTCATTTGAACAAACTTGAACCCCCTTCACCCAAGGATGCTTTGTGGCAAGTTTGGTTGAAATTGGCCCAGTGGTTCTGGAGAAGATGTCGAAAATGTGAAAAGTTTACAGACGGACGGACAGACGGACAGACAGCTAGACAGACGGATTACAGACAAAATGTGATCAGAAAAGCTCACTTGAGCTTTCAGCTCAGGTGAGCTAATTTTATATATATATATATATATATATATATATATATATATATATATATATATATATATATATATATGAAAAATATTCAAACATATAAAAACACAGAGAACGAGTAAAATATCAGCGCTTTCATTTCTTCTTCATGATGTTTTGCAATATACTCATGGTAACGTTTATTGTGACGTCATAATAACATATTTACATTTCACACGTATTTTGCTTATAAAGTGTAAGGAAAGCTATACTGGTACATGTACACATTTTTTAAAAGATGGCACTGTAGCTCTTTGTCGTCCATGCGTATTTTTTTCCAGATCTGACAGTCAGAGCTACAGATCTGCAACTTAACTCTCTTTTACAAGATATCCCCATGAAAAAGTAATGATCCTCTTTTGTGGCCCAATTAACCTACCCCAGTTGGGGAGAGAATGGGGGAGCGGAGGGTGTGTGAACAAACTGGAATATAATTACATGTATATACACTTTGTCAGGAAGCTAAGTTCAATTATTAATTTAATTTAATCTTTTCTAGTCCAGTGATTCTTGAGAAGATCAAGATTTTTAAACGTCGATCTTTACATGACCCCACACTTTTTTGTCTTTCTTTATTATTTCCCCTTCAATTATCTCCTCTTTGAAAGGAGGCCATGGCCTTTTACTAAAACTAGAATTCCTCTTACATAAGGTCATTAATTAAGGACCCTCTATACACCAGTGTGAAATGTTTTTTGGACATTGAGAAAATTATATTGAATAAAGGTGTAAATAATGAGGTTATCTATCTAATTTTAAATATACGATACGTGGCACTTACCCCCAGGAAAAATGTTCAGAGACGACAAAGTATCAATGAACAGAAATCATTATTGTTTACTTTCGTGGAGAAAATACTTGCAAATAAAGTGTTCAGTTAATTTATCTTGGCCTTTTTAAAATGTTAAGGATTACAAATTGAGTAATATACTGTAAATTTCAATTTATTGGAATTGAGATCTAAGGGCAGATCACTCTAACTGTAGAAAAATACAATAGAATCAGAACTCTTTAGTGTGCAGTGTAGAGAGGTTCTTAAGGATTCATGGTGACAATTTTATATTTGAAAAAAAGAGAATAATAAGGATAAGACGGACGACAGATGATGAAAAACATACGGTTCTGTCCTGGTGAGCTAAAAACACTTATAGGTTCCTGCAGGCAATAAACCAGCATGCTTCAAATTCAGTCGGATTCATCTGATCTATATATTTTCTCCAAGAGCTGGCTGCTTCATGATGCATATCGATATATATCTGTTCCTGCCTGCAACACCTTTCATCTGTACTTTCACTTTATGAGGACAGTAGATTAAAAATTGTTCTACCCTTGTACATTTCAACACGTTGAAATACCCGCCTAAGAATCTTGGCGCATCCGAGGGTAGTGGAATCAGCCGAGGTGTTCCGAATGTCCACTGACCATGCTTACAGCTATATTTAGCAAGGATCACATGATCACAACAAAGTCCCGGTGTAATATACAGGATGTGCAGATAATTTACATGCCTGTATTTTTAGTTTAAAATAAAACACAAAGATGTCTAGAGAGGAATTGATGTGGGACCACACAGGTGAGGATTTGGACGACCCCCTGATCGGTAGCTATGAGGATGAGGAAGCAGCATCTAGATCATACAGGTACATGTACGTCATAAGAGTATTGAATTTAAAGGGTTTTTTTGCAGCTGTTACACATGCTTCTTCTTCTGTTATGTTAGAGTGATCAGACTGTGTTACATAGATCTGGTTGCTTTCTAATTTTTTTTTGATTTTATAAATTCCAAGTGTGATCAGCAAGGCAATGCTACAGTCTATTCTCTTTAGAGAAGTGGACAGGCTTTCGCCTACCTGTCCACTTCTCTAAAGAGAATAATGCTACACTATTACACAAATTATCAATAATGTTGTGATAAATTGATATATACATGTATAGTTAGACTAAAATGTTTAAACCAATTATAATTTACACAGTATATCTATGACTTGATCCACAGATAATATTACTCCCCTTTAATGGAGGTTCATGACAATTTGTAAACTAAATTTCAAATGAGATCTCATATCTTGTAAAATTTTTGTACACTTAAAAATTTAAAGTTTGAAATATTTTATGCAGAGCAGGAAAGACTCTCCAGTTGTCACAATATGAAGCCCTGAAACTGGCCAATCAACTGGAGGAGACGAGTGCCTTACTGAGGACTTACGTAGGAGACCTGGAATTAAATAATACGCAGGTTTAATAAGGGTCCTTGATATTAGCCTCAAACCGTGATACCCCAGATATTGAAATAAACAAGCATTGTATAAACTGATGTGTAATGAGATTGAATTCAAGATAACCAGAATATTTGTTTAAACTATCTGAGTTATGTCAGATCTTATGGTCAAGATTTACACAACATACACAATTATACATATCCATGACTAAATTTATTAGTATCATTATGTATATATTATTAAACAGTGTTTTTATTAAATTATAAAAATAATGAAATATTAAATGGAGTCATTTTATTATATTATTTTAATGTAAACAAGCCCAATTTTTGACTGTGCTCCATTCTGCAATGTGTATATATCTGAGTGCACTGTGAATATGTCTATAGATAGTTTTCAGTAGGCCCAAATTAGCAAGAGTTATCTCCCGTTGGCCGCCATATTGGAGGTCAACATGCTCATATTCCTTCATTATTCAACCAACTTTAACTTTTTATACTGGCCATTGTGAGGTAGAAAGCATTGCTTTTCTGAAAAATATACATTTGTTAAAGCCTCCTTTATTTCATAATTTTTATTCTATAAAGACTTTTCCCCAAATATTTCTGCTACACCCTCTTAGATTTGGTATAGACAAGAGGAAAAATTACCAAGTTGACCACCAAGGTGGCGGCCAAGTGAAATAACTCGTAGAGAAAATACTTCATATGAAAACTATCTATTCAATTATGAATGCCATCTTCACAAGCATAGGGTTTTTGGTCTGCTCTGCTGACCCCAGAAGATAACTGAATTGCAAGAGGCCCAGAAACAATGTAAAATTAGTTGCCATACTTGTATCCAGAGCCATATTAACAACATTTTTCAAAGTGGGGGAGGGGAGCAACCTCCCAAAAAAATTTTGAAAAAAAAATCCCCAAACTTGAAAATCTTATTTTGTGTGTTGGGGGTGGAGGGTGGGGTGTTTGACCTCTTTCTCTAACTTTTCAGTACTTTTTTTTCAAATACTGGAATTTGCCAGTGTTCAACCTTTCAGCAACCAAAAAAAAGGGGGGGGGGGGACAACAACATCTAAATGAACATTTACAAATTAAATCTACACCAAATGACTATTCTCAGAAAAAGTGTGGTGGGGACGGTCCCATCCCCCACACACTAAGGGTCTGCGTATATCAACAGCAGACAAGTAGGATTAGTAATTTCAGTTTGCAGAAGGGGCGGGGGTCATCAGACATTATTGTATAGGGGACACAACAGTAGATCACCTCTGTTTTCTATAGTATAAAGTCTCTTGGCAAAATTCCTATGGACCTGATCAAATTTTACATGTATCAGTTTGCACAAGTTAATTTTAAAATATAGATTTTGCAATTTCCCTGCAGAAAATTATTTGATTTTCTACTGACTTTACAGAATGAAACTACAACAGCAGAGAGTCCCCAGTCAGGATTTTTATTCTCCCTCAAAAGAAAATGTGAAAACATTTTGGAGAAAGTAACAGCTAGTATTAAAGTCATCATTTTTACATTAGCCCTTCAGGTAATTAGTTTTTTAGTGTTCATGTTCCTAGTGTCTAAAATATAATTGACAAACCAACCAATTTTTTATTCACTAGTTATAAATTACCATTTCTTAGAACAACTTTATTTGAAAGTATGGTGAGATTTTCAGATACAACAACAAAATCAGCAGTTTGAATTTTTGGTACGTGTTGACATGCTTCATGTTTCACTGAAGTAGTGATGTAAACAGTATATTTTGCATTCAAGCAAGAGTTGGCAAACTAAACGTTAGGTTAACTTCACTGAATGATTTGCTACTTTTTTTAAAAAAAGGGGGGGGGGTCTTCTTTTTGTTCCAATTTTCAAAATATCCAAACTAACAGTGAAATTGTTCTAAACTTTTTTCTACTGAACAATTAAGGTAAAAAGAATAGAGCTACATTGTATAATGTGAGATACATGTATTTGTATTACAGGGGATAAATCTGATCATACAAACACTGATTGATATATGGCCACAGAAAGATGACTACACAGAGCTTGTTGTGGTAGGTTAAAAAAGGAAAACAAATCAATTATTATATCTTAACAATATACCATTGATTTTTATAGTTCTAAAGTGATAGTCAGGTTTAATCTAACATTATGCATATCTTTTATCAAAGACATAAAGATCTTTGAACCTATTCTTTGCAAAGAAGAAAGATTTAGTAACAATTGCTTCATTGTATGAGATGGATGTCACTTTCTTTCTGTATAGTGTATAATACATGCCTTATTTATCATGAAGTTAAATCAGACTACTTAATTGTCATATTTGGATACAATAGCTTTTAGTTTTACTGATATGTATATATGTACATGTGGCTGTATATGTATACATGTATGTGTAACTTAATTGATTCTTGACTTGGAACAAAATTCAATTTTTATTAAATCAATTTAAAAGTACAATGTCTGCAAGAACTTATACAAATACTTGAATTTATACATACTATATACAGTAGTAGCATCTATGTATAGTATTAGTCAAGTTTTGTTTTTGCCATTTTCAAGAAAAAGCAAGGTAGTAAAATTAAACTTATTAAGTTTATCAAGTAAAAAGTATAATCAATATTTCAATAAAGGGCCATAAAATTTTGAATTAAACAAAAAAATCGCAAGAAAAACTAGAAAAATATCTCTGATCAAAATTATAAAGTTAGTAGTAATGCAGTAGTAATCTTTGTTGGTCTTTATCGTGAAAATAGTACTGCTATAACATAAATGTTTGATATACCTTTAAGGAGGGATTCTTGTCTGATTTCTGACTAGATGAAATATTCTAAGTATATTTGCTTATATGTTTTATATATTTAGATGTAAGAGATTTAAAAGATCATATTTTTCTTTCCTCATCACAATTGTACAACTTTAAATAGAAATGGTAAACTGAGTTTGAAATCTAGCAGGGACTATATTTTTGGTGGAATGGCGGCGTATGAAAATATCTTCTTTTCTGCCTCTCAAAATAATTATAGAAAAATGAATTTAGTTATAATTTTTACACAATCAAAGACTTGGAGAAAATTTTAAAATGTAAGTTAAATTAATAATAAGGGAAGTTTTAAAATATATCAAATAAATACAATTTTCCAAACAAACTACAATTATGTTAGCTTATAAAAGCTTCCAATCTAAGTTCAGATTTGATCCAAAAATCCGTAAAAACTGTTTTTTCTCTCTTAGTAAATGGTCAAAACTTTTTATTTTTATATCATTTTGTATCTTTATGTGACAACTTTACCATATGTGAAAATAAGAAAAATTTAAATATAGGAAGCATATAAAAATAACTAAAATATCTTAAAATTTTAAGAAAAATAGAGAAAATTCGGATTAGCCAATATCCATTTTAGTTAAATTATTTATGTCAATTTGGTAATATCATCTTATAGACCCTATATGGTTATATCTCTTTATGCAAAAAGAAAAACATTCAATTTATTGAAATAGAAGTAGGCATCGCATGATTGGCAACAGTATTTTTTTATTCTTAATGTCCAGGGAAAAGGTACTGACCTTGACCTGACGTTGCCTCTAATATAAAACGGTCAAATTTAATCTAACTGATACCATCACTTAGTGATATTGTCTTCTTGATTCTGTGAAAATTTCATTGATTTTTAAATATAAGAAATAACTATTCTTAAGAGAAGAATCCCTCCTTAAAAATTAGTTCCTATATAAATCTATATTTAAAAAAGTCTAACAATTACATTTCTAATGATTTACTAAGCGGTCATAAAGAAATTGATGTTTGACCGCAGAGCGAGATATATTGGACCTGTCGATGAGATGTTGGACCACTTACATCACACAATGGGCGGGGTCAGCTAAATCTCATTTGCATTCGTTTGTGTTCGACATACATGTATAAATGTTTTAAAAAAAAAAAATAATAAAACGCACGTTGTCCTCAAACCCAGTCAATAAATGTATAATGTTTAACATTACCCTTGATTTTTTTTTTTTTTTTGATAAAAATGTTAAGTTTGTGAATTGCTTTACAGAGTTGTTTGACCATGATATTGCTGCAAGTTTTGAATCTGGTTTTGCTTCTAATTAGTTCAGGTAAGGCATTAAAAAAACCCACTTAACACAGATTGAATCTTTGAAGAACAAAACGTGACCCTCTTAGAAGTTTAATAGTGCAAGCCCATTTATATGAACAGTGAAGTTGGTGAGACAGTTGTTTCTACATGAGGTCAGTGCTCTGCTCCTGGCACAGTCCTATGTGGCAGCTATCCTGGTGTTTGCTGGGATCTACACACTTACAAAAAGACTAGCAGTAAGTAAGATCATTTATTTTATTTACAGTAAAGCTCATTTATAGTGATGTACCAGGGATGAACAATTTTTATTCATGATATTTCAGTTTGTAGTCTATCCATACACAAGACTTTCTTTTTGTGATTGAGGAAATGACCTACACTTATTTACAATTATAATTAAATGGTTTGCTGTGATAAATATTTGCAAGAAAAAGAGAGTCTTGAAACTCACAGATAAATTAAACTTGGTTTACAGTATGCCAATACTTTAAAAAGTTTTCTATTTATAAAAAATATAGTTTGACATACAAGTAAGTGTATTTATTTTACACTATCTTATTGGCTGATGAAATGTGTGACATAATTTATTTGTAGATACATTTAAAGACGTGAAATATTTCTGTATTAATTGCAGCCAGACTCCTGGAAAGATGTCCATGAGGATGTACAAGAAGACCCTGCCTTGATTATTGTGATGTACTGCCAGTTTCTGTATTTCTCAGTCTCTACATCCACACTCTGTGGTAAGCAACAGCAGTTGTGATGTTTTCTAATCAGTCTTGATACATTAATTATGACTCGTAATTGGGTTGTCTTTTTATCTAGGTACTGCAGATGTGACACCCCACATGTGGTACAACTACATCTGTGTTTCCATACAGGTCAGTTGCAGTCTAAGAATTAACATGAATTATAACATGCAAAATTCATCTCTTACAAATATGGTTTCACCCCCCCCCCCCCCTTTTTTTTTTGCCACATGTATATTAGGAAATATAATTTTCTTTCCCAAAGAGTTCTAAATACATTGTCATGGTGTTTTAGTTTGATGAAATAAATTTTTGCTTAGTAATTGAACTGTGAATACACTTCTGTACTAGTAAGATGAAAGATTTTATGTATGAGACTGAGTAAAAATCACAGAGATATAAATTGAAAAATCTGAAGTCTGGCAATATTATTCTGTTGAGCAGTGTGGCACTAGATAGCATGAAATACTGCATTCCTATTTCAGATGTTGCTGAGTTTTATGTATTTTGCTTCCATACTGGGTCAAGTTATGGCCCCAATCACTGCCCCTTCCTCCATTCGACATACGCTCCACAGAAGCAGACTGCAGAATCATATTTCCACTGGTTATATTAATAGCAGACGATCAAGCGTAGGAGAGGAAAACATTGTTAATACAGGTTTTGTCTTTTTTGGTTATTTCTTATAGTGAACACTCACTATTGAATTGTACGTTTGCCTTTGAAGGTCAGAGATAAAGACAGGTTTGACAGACAACAATGTAAAGTTCTTTGATGAATCACTTAATTATTGGTTGTTTTTACTACTTGTAGGGTTGTGTGCATTTTTCACTTTATGTAGAGTATTTACAAATATGTCAATTTTTCTTTACAGGAAGCTCTGGCTCGTAATTACAAACAGCATGAACTTGATGATGAAATGAAATATGCATGTAGTAATAACAATTTCCACATAATTTCCGAATTTTATATGATTTTCTGCTTTTGTGATCTAAAGCTTAATATGTATCATCATTGGTTGTGCCTACACTGCTCATGTTTTTGAGGTTTTTCCTTGAGGAGAGATGAGGCAGTGATGGGAGACCATTGTGGAAAAATTTTAGAAATCAGTTTCTCAAAAGCTCTGGTGCAAAAAAAAGTTAAATTTTAACGCAAGCATACTCATTTAGTTTTGATCAAACTGTGCCCCCTTGAGCAAAGACAGATCCCCAAAAAGGGTCAAATTTTCACAGGAAATATATTGGTTTTATCTTCAGTATTACTAATTTTATTTGTAAGCATATTTATATGATGTAGATTCATGGTTATTTCATTTATGGCCCTCAGGGCAGGGCTAGGACAAAAAGGTCCCAAATTTTTACATAGATTAAGATATATATAGCTCAAAACATCATTTTTGTCTGGAGGCTCTTCCTTAGTGCATTTGAAAATATGACCAAAAACTCCACTTGTTACACAAAAGCAATTTCTTCTGGAGTGTTATTTTATTCAGTTGTACATGAAATGTATTACTTGTATGTATACTGTTTTATTTACCTGAATAAATCTTGTGATTTTTATTTTATACAAGTATTTCACTACTTCGAATATTTTGGATGCAATTTGATGTACATGTATCTTTATAATTTATAATTTTTTTTTCAAATATGTAAGCAATATTATGTTCTGATAAAATGAACCATACGGAATAAAATCAGACTTGTTCAGTAAATTGTTATATAATCATACACTTAATATCAAGTTCAACATTATGTATTCGTGAATACCCCCTCCCCCCTCCAACAAACTAGGGCCAAATTGTTCTTGGTAAAAAATTGAACTTTTGTTAAGGGATTCACAATATACCCTCTGATTATAACCTTCCTTTGTACCAAGTGAGAGTTTTAACAAGGATCAAAAACTTCTATAGCCAAAGTCCCCTCTGACTTCGCATGTACATGTTGTAGGCTAAATTAATCTGTACTTGACATGCATAATCCGCTGGATAACGAAAGAGGCAATGTAGCGGTAATGTATACTTTTAAATGTAGCGGTAATGTAACCTTTTTTGTAACGGTAATGATTATGTAGCGGTATAGACAATTTTGAAAATGTAGCGGAAATGATACGCACCCCTCCATTGAATTTAATGGACCCATCGCCAGACCAGAATTCAACACTTTCAATCCCCGTGATCTTGTCCGAATGACCTTGAGCAATGGCCGAGTCACACCCTCTAGTCATACTTCACACAAATAGGCAAACCAAAAGCAAGATCACCCGGGAGGTCAACATTACCGCTACATTGCGAAGAATTTCAACTCATTACCGCTACATTTCTTCGAAATTTAGGGTGATAATTGCTACATTTTATCAAGAAGAGTATTGCCGATTACAACTCATTACCACTACATATCCAATCAGCCAGCAATGACACGGAATATAAGTTCTGTTTATTATAATTTATATAAGAGATTTCCAGAAAGCAGTACGTCAAGCAAATGGTCTTCAAATCTCTACCAGTTCTATAAAGACTGTGTTTCATCCATGAACGATGCTCGGTTTTAACACTTCTGAAATTTTTTACTGTATACAGTGTTGTTTTTGCACTTGCAAATAATTTTGCCCCGTTGTAAATTCGCCCAGTCATTAAATTCGCCCACTTGTGAGTAGAGCGAAAATAAAACGGGGGCAAAAATTTCCCTGTATACAGTATTAAATGAAATAGATTTTAAATAAAAATTGAAAACAAAAACATTCTACTCAATGTCTTACTTTCACCTCGCCGTGGTGAGCAGGGGAAACGTCTTATGGATGTACATGTTTAAATCAATTTGTACATGCGTAAACCGCTGGCTAACGAAGGAGGCAATGTAGCGGTAATGTATACTTTTAAATGTAATGTAACCTTTTTTCGTAGCGGTAATGAGTATGTTGCGGTATAGACAATTTTGAAAATGTAGCGGTAATGATATGCACCCGATCACCCAATCCCCTCAACCAGTCTTCGATCTTTGGGTGTGGGGGTTTAATATCATAACTTCATAACATAACGAGATTGACGAGTGAATCACGTTACGAAAGCAAATATAATCTTATGATTTTGTACGAGAATACAATGTATTTAATTAACTATAATATTATTTAAATGAAATTTCGTTTAGCAAGTAAGAAAACATAATAAAATACCAATTAAAAAAAAACACTTTATGCATGTTCGTCTAGATGTATATTTCAAAGGTGTAGCAAATCGAGACAGCATATATTTTCCTTATTTTTGTTTTGTTACGCAATGGACACCGAGTGGCTCAACAATAATCCAAGGAAATACATGAGATTATTCATTTCACATTGATCATGTTTCAAACTTTTCAAAGCTCCCCTGATTAAAACAAAAACCGGATACTTTTCGATCTTTAGTGCATTTTGGAAAAGTTGCACTAATCATTTACGAACAGTTGGAATTGCTTTCTTTGTCCAGGCAATCACATGACTTTCTGTATCTCGTTGAAAATATTCTTTAAAAGTGTTCCAACAACAAAATGGGACTAAAAAGTCTATTCAATCAGGATTGCCATTGTTTAATATTGTTCAAGACATAAAGTTTAACTTATTGCTATCGGAGTAAATCCTGATCAAATTTCTGATTGCAATAAATTGAGGGGAGGGGGGTACTTTATTGAATGAAATGGTTAGTCAAAGGATATCTGTCCAACGTTATAACAGTACATGCACACAAACATTCATTATTTCTAGTATAACAGGCTCGATCGCATCTCTGCCTACCAAATCACTTATATTTGAGTAACTGAATGCATGTCTTAGGTGAGAGCTCTCACCCAACCACTTGTATTTGAAATATAAGTTATATACTTTAGACTGTATTCTTTTGCTTTTTCAAACCTTCCTAGGTAACGGAACATTTCGCTAGCAGTGGGCATAAAGTTTGGGAATTCTTCGCAAAGCCTTTCGATATCGCCCATAAAATTGTTTAAAGGATAAGTGAGCAGTTCCAAACTTGATACATTAAATAAATGAATGTAATACTGAAGTAAACTCTGCTTTAGTCCACGTATCTCTTCAATAATCTCTTTTCTCAATGATTGGTCTTCAACAGTGTTCACATCAAACAACCCTTTTTCGTTTGCATGTTTTGAACATCTTATGGCGGTTACAATGGCGGATAAACTTAAAATAACGTTTCTTTTATCATATTCTGTTAGACTGTATCCGTACAGAAACTTTGCTATTGATGTAATATCTCCAGCCTTGTCCTCTGGAACTTGTAACCAACCGATTAAATCGTCAACCTTCCATGGCAACAGGTTTTTAAGTTGCAATGCATTCTCTCGTACATGTTTCGCCACCAGAGTTGTTCCATGTTCTCGTTCAAACGTCTTTGCTAGAATGATTCGTGTTGAACGTTGATGCATTTCGTTTATAGCACCGTCTATAAAATCTTCGAATTCATTAGATTGCGCTTCTGAATCCGGAAGCAAAAGCAGCTGCTCATACATATCTTCTAGGAGCTGAGTTACTGCGTCATAAAGACCTATCCTTGAGAGGACCTTTGCAGTGCGTATGGATGTTGGAATCATTGTATTCTCGACGGTAGCCTTTAAGTCTTTCGTCTGCACAAAAGATGGTATGTCTGAGAGAATAGCCTTTACCAAGTTGCCTCCATACACATATCCATGCTTTTCAGCGACAAATTGAACGATGTATGCAGGAAATAAACGAATGGATTCAATGCAGACAGAGATAGCACTGATGTCTTCTTCCGAGAAGCAGTCGATAAGGTTATTGGTAGGAATAAAGTAATGGGGAAGACATCTCGCTTTTAAGCACGATAACAATTTACTGATGACATATAGTATACAACCACTGAAGCAAGTGTCCCAAGCGCTAACGGACATTTCCTCACACGCTTTTAAGAAAACTGCTTTAAAATGCTTTGCTTTGAGTGTTTTCTTGATCTGAAATGTCAAGTTTTCGATTAACACTTTCATCACAAAATAACCAGATTGCTGTGTTCTTGTCAGGTTCAAAATAATTACGTACTCTGCCATGGAAAAATTGTATTTCCACTCAATTAAAGGATTTTCGCTTTTTGGATGTGATTTAGGGATAAGTGTGCAACCTATTTCTGTTATCCTGTCGACTAGATCAGGCGTTGGGAAATCAAAGTTTCTTTTTCTCTTTCCCCACTCTGATGTCATTGGCGGAAATGGACATAGAAACCCTATGTATTGAACTTCTGATCGATGAAAATGAGGCACAGACTTAAGGCTTTCTGGGATATCATAAGCTTTCAGATAATCATCTGAATTAATTCGCAAAATATTTTCGTCTCTACCTACGAATTGCTTATTTGGAAGTTTAAGCCTGCAATAACCAGGATAGTTTTTTGAAGGTTCTACTAATACCTGAGATGGCAGTTGCTCTTCTTCTGGTGGCATTTCAAACATCACATCTTTATCATCTTTGATAACAACTATTTTCCTTCGTTTTCCATTATGTTTGTTGTAGAAAAATTGCATTTTCTGAGCACGGGTGATGTCTCTTAATGTAAAATTACACCCATCACACCATGGGCCTTTTGTGTGAAACATTACTCTCTCAGTGTAAAGGAGATGACCATTTGGAACAGTGTATTTATACGAGAATTTTAGGGACATCAAATTTTTCATTATAAATGACAAGTGAGTTAGTGGGATTCCTGTAAGCGGATCAATATGGGTCGTGTCCTCAACCAAATGTTTTAGAGAATCTGAAAGAAGCGATTAAGTTAAAAAGAGATTTTAGAAATTTGTGTATATCTTAATATCTGTTATTATGCATGAATTATGTAAACATCCTCACACTGAAATACTCATGATCTGACATATACAAACATATTCAAATCTTTTTTTTTTTTCTCAAAGCAGATATATATGTACATGTATATAAAATTATTGCATGCCGTAACATGTATGTTCATGATATTCTTTTTTGAAAAAAAAAATACCTTCAGTTTCTTCTAATTGCAGATCGATTGGACCGTATGATTTAAAAGGTGTTTTGAATTTTCTGATATCAATCTGTTTCTGGAATTGATTTGTCTCTTCAAGTTTTGTTTCATGAACGTTGTCCATAGCATATCCAGCGATGTTGTTTAATGTGACATCAGAAATAAACCTTTCATTGGTTATTCCCTTAACTTTTTCAGTTATTAAATGTTTCGTTGTTCTGGAGTCTTTAGAGCATGCAAGGATCCTTAGTATCAGTGCTTCTGAAAAAATAAAAGAGAAAAAAAAGTGTCAGACATGACTTGAGCAAAGCAGCTACACAAATATTTATTATATTTGATAGGCATCATAATTACTGTAGGGCCAATGTTTCAGCCAGTGTTTTGGGCGCAAACTTAAATAGTGAAATTCTCCAAGGTGACCGAGGAAAATTGTAAGACGGTTTTCATTCTGCACAGACGAATTTCCGTTGACTTCTGTTCGACACACGTCGTCATGGAAAACGTTAAACACTACAACTTTAAGGGAAAACACGTCAGCTAGAGCTTGTAAAATGATGTGGTCGCTCCATTCAC